ACTGTTCTGCTTTCCTGGGAAACACCCACCGGCTCCTGGGGAGCTCCAAGAGAAAAAAGCCCTCCCAAACTGCCCCAAGCCTCCCCAGGCCACCGCTCCCCTCAAACTCCCCTTTTCCCCCAAATTTTATCTCATTTTGGCTGCTTTTTCCGCTGTCTTCCCCCGACGCTCTCTGCTCTTCCCACCCAAATGGAGCTGCGGGAGGTTGTGTCCGTGGATCCAGCGCTTCTCCGGCTGGGAAAGGCTCCCGGAGCTGACACCGGGAGCTGCTTTTTTGGGTTTATTATCAGATTTTGGTGTTTTTGCCTTTTTTTTTGTTTGTTTTTTTCTCTTCCATGTATTTCTAGCCAGCTCCCCGGAGCTGGGCCAGGCCGGCAGCGACTCCGCCGCTCTCCCGGCTTAGAAATAAGGCTAAATCACCGCAATTCAGCCAAAAGAAAGAAAAACCAAAGGAATATATATATATTTTTATATATATATATATATATATCTCATCCTCTTCAAAAATAAAAGGAGAGGTCCCGCGGCCGGACGCCGGTGAGTCCCGCGGAGCCGGGAGCATTTTTTTTCCCCCCAAATCCGTTGTCGCCGTTGTGGTTTCTGGATTTTCTCCGTGGCAAAGAACACAGGACCAGGAGGATGGGTGGATACAGCAGGAATTCACCGGAAAGAGCTGCCTGAGGGTACAAAATACAGTACGGACACGTCGGCCACCGAGGAAGGACTATTGCTCCCGTGTGAGTGAGGGATCCGGGTCCTTTGCGACGGAGAAGGCTTTAAAAACGGGAGAAATGGAAGAAACTCGCTTTAAAAATCCCTTTAAAAAGAGCAACGGCGGCGGGAGCGGCGGGACAGGACCGGAGCCGGACGGACGGATGGACCCCCAGGGGTCTGCGGCTGTTCCTCACTTCCCAATAAATACGGAGAGAGGGAGACGCCGGATCCGTGGTAATAAATTAAGGAGGCAGCTGAGCAGGCTCCCAAAAATGGATCAAAAGCCAAAAAAAAAAAAAAAAAAAAAAGTCCTAAAAGTGGCGAAACCGTTGGAGGAGAAGAAGAGGCAAAACTTTGGAATGAGAGCGATGGAGTTCAGAGTTCTGGGAAAACGGGGTGAAAAAGCGAAATTCTGGACAGGGCAGGACTGAGCTGAGGGAGTGAAAAAGAATTTTAAAAAAGACTGTTTGAGAGTGGAAAAATGTGTTTAATAGGAGGTGGCTGGAGGGACCGGGTGGCGCCAGGGCCGGGCCCGGGGGGGGGGGGCAAAAAAAGACAAAAAGAGGCAAAAAATAACAATAAACCCCCTAAAACCACCCCCAAGGGGCCGGGGCCGGGCGCGGCCACGGGTTTGGGGCCGGAAAATCCAATCTGGGTGAAGCCAAGGGGCGGATTCCGGCGGGTCCTGGTGAATCGGGGCCGGAGGCGCCTTATTTGGAAAGAAGGGGAAGATGTTTCGCCCCATCGAGCTTTTCCTTGTGCTTTGTGCCGGCGCCTCCCCCTTCCCGGCGGGAAACGGGGCAGGGTGGGGGGAGAAAAACGGTCCGAAATCGGCAAAACCGAGGAGATCTTCCCTAATTGTCAGGGAGCCGCAGCTCCGCGCCGGCTCGGGGCAGGTTCCAGTTCGGGCGCCCGGAGTTTGCAGTTTGCATCCCAAAAAAACGACAAAAAAAAAAAAAAAAAAAAAAAAACGTGGAAAGAGGAGAAAAAGGAAGGGAGAAAAAAAAAAAAAAGGAGAATGAAGGAAAAATCACAAGCCGAGGGAACGGCCGTTGGTCCAAGGTGCCCCCACTGCCCCCCCGGCGCCGCCGCTGCCCCCCCGGCTCCGGGACCCTCGGTGCTGGTTTCGATGGGGGGACACCGGGAGGGGAGGGGGCTGCGGGTGAGCCCCTGTCCCTCCCCAGAGCGGCGGGTCCTGGGGGTCCCGCGGCGGGGACAGAGCAGGGGGAGGAGCCGCGGGCAGCGGCGCGGTCGGGCCGGTTTCTCTCTCTCCGGTGGCTGCAGGAGGGGGGGCTCGGGGGGCGTTGGGGACCACCGCGCCCCACCGCTGCTGGGGGGGGGCTCGGGGACCCTTCATCCCGTTGCTGGGATCGGGGGCGTGGGGGGGTTTCGAGAGCCCTTCACCCTGTCGCTGGGAGAGGGGGTGGGCTCAGGGACCCCTCTGCCCCATCGCTGTTTGGGGGAGGTCGGGGGTTTGGGACCCCCTCTGCCCCGGGGCTCGGGGGGGCGGTAGGGGGCCGGTGTCGGGGGGTCGAGGGCCGGGTGGGGGTCGGCTCAGTCGTCGTCCACGTCGTCGCCGTCAGAGTCGTCGCCGGCTCCGCTGCCGCTGCCGGGCCCGGGGGGGCCAGCGCGCCGGTCGTAGAGCTTGTCCCGCTGGCGCTCCTGGATGTCGCGCATCTCCTCGGCGTAGCGGCAGAAGGCGCCGCCGAACTTGGCCCAGGCCTTGTAGGGGACGGTGATGGCGTTGCGGTAGGACGGCTTCACCTCGCTGACCCGCAGGAACACGCCGTACTTGTTGCAGCCCACGTCGAAGAAGAAGCGCTTGGAGTCCACGGTGATGGACGTGCCCTCGGGCAGCTCCCCGTAGAGCCCCCCGCCGCCCGGGCCGCCGCCGCCGGGGCCGCCCAGCTCGTCCTCCTCGCCGCCGTAGTCGTCGATGAGCTTGGCGAGCGCGTCGCGGAACTCGATGAGGCCCTGTGCGGGCAGCGCGATGGTCTGGCCGCTCTGCAGCCCCGGGGGGCCCCCCGCGAACCCCCCCGGGCCGCCGGGGCCGCGGTTCACGGTCTGGCGGATGCGCAGGAAGCGCCCGCGCTGGTTCTCCTTCAGGTCCAGGTAGTACTTGCGGTTCTCCCGCACCAGGAACTCGCTCTTGAGGGCGCGGCGGGGCCCGGCGCCGTCCTCGCCCGGCGGCCCCGCGGCCTGGGCGAGCTGCTCGGGGCTGGACGGGCCCAGCTGCGCGTAGTGCTCGATGAAGTCGCCCAGGTAGTCGCGGAACTCGGCGGCCACGGCCATGGAGAGCGTGAGGCGGCTCTTGGAGCCGCCCGCGCCCACCTCGGCGATCTTGAGGAAGCGGCCCTTGGCGTTCTGCTTCACGTCCAGGTAGAAGCGCTTGTTCTGGATGTCCAGCCGCTTGGACGCCAGCTCCTGCGTCTCCTGCTCGGGGCCGGCCGCGCCGCCGCCGCCGCCGCCGGGCCCTGCCGCGGGCCCGGCCCCCGCCCCGCCGCGGGCGGCCCCGAACCCGCCGCCGCCGCCGCGCTCGCTGCCGCTGTCCCCGTCCGCCATCTTGTCCGCCCGCCCCGCGCGCCGCCCGCTTCCGGCCCCGCTGCGACACCGCCGATGACGTCACCGCCGCACCGCCGCCGTCACGTGCGCGGGGGAGGGGGCACAGAGCCCCGCCCGCCGCGTCCCCGCGCGCCCCGGCAGGCCCGCCCCCGGCAGGCCCTGCCCCTCCCGCTGCCAGTCACGGCCGCCCGCGGCCCCATTGGTCGGCGAGGCCCCGCCCTCCCCTCGGGTTCCATTGAGCACCAAGCCCCGCCCCCACACTGTCAGTCACGGCCAGCACGGCCCCCATTGGTCGGTGAGTCCCCAAGCCCCGCCCCGCAGCACCCGCCCCGCTGCCTCAGTCGCAGGTCCCGGCCGGCCCTGCCGTCAGTCACGGCCGCCCCCATTGGTCAGGGAGGCACAGGGCCCCGCCCCCAGCCGCTTCCATTGAACGTAAACCCCGCCCCCACATGTCAGTCACGGCCACCGCCTGCCCCCATTGGTCAATGAGATCAAGGGCTCCGCCCTGTGAAGCCCCGCCCCACCCCCCTCTCCATTCGGTTTCCATTAAGTGCGGAGCCCCGCCCTCCCCACGTGTCCCTCACAGCCAGCCCAGCTCCCCATTGGCCGCTGAGGCCCAAAGTCCCACCCCCTGGCTGTCAGTCAGGACTCCCAGCAGCACCGATTGGCCGGAGCGCCCCAAGCCCCGCCCTCCCTTAATCACACTGCCCCACCCATCCCTGTTGTCAATCACAGCCACCAGCTCCCATTGGTCAGTGTGGCCCAGAGCCCCGCCCCCCCGACCCCACCCCCAGCTGTCAGTCATGGCCACCACAGCCCCCCATTGGCCAGTGATGAGCCCCTCCCCCTGGGGTGCATGACATCATGACTGACCAGCCTGACATCATCGATGACATCATGACCACCCAATCTGATGTCATCAATGACATCAGCAGCACAGCGGCCACCCTGGGCCCCCCTGTGGGGCTGGGAGGGCGGAACCTCTCCCCTCACCCTGGGGACACAGGGGCAGGGCTGCAGCACCCAGATCCCCTGGGGAGCTGCTGGGGGACCTCCAGGGATGCCCTAGGATCTCCTGGGAACCATTGGGGATCTCAAGGGGCCCCCTGGGGACCTTCATGGTCCTGCTGCAGCCTCAGCCAGGAGCTCTTGGAGCCCCGTGGGAACCTCCTGTGGCCTCCCGAGTTCTCATGAGAACCTTCAGAGACCCCCAGGGGTCTCGTGGGGCCCCCTGGGTCCCCTCCGAGGTGCCAGGGCAGGACGGGCGCCCAGGGCTCCCCCAGTGTCCCCAGGAGGCTCCCGCCCATGGGGGTGTCACCCCTGGGGCAGGTGAGGCCCCCCAAGGACGTGCCCAGCTGTGTCTCTCCCCTGTGCACAGAGAGACCCCCACAGGGGCATTTGGGGGGACACCGGTGTGTGTGGGAGGACTACGAGGGTGACCCAGTCCCCCTGGGGGCTTCTTTTGAGGTGGGGGATCCCCTGGGCCAGGCAGGGAGACCCAAAGCAGCAGAAGGAGCACTGAGACCCCCCAGCAGCTGCACCCCAGAGCCCCCCGTCAAATCCCAGCACCCCCAGGGCAGAGGGACAGTGAAAGAGGGTCCCTCAACAACCCCCTCCCACATCCCCAGGGCACTCCCAGCGACACCATGGCCTGGCCTGGCCCCACACAGGAGCTGCCCCCCCTGCCCACCCTCCTGCCCCCCCAAACACACAGAGTCGGGGTGTCCACATCATCTCTTTATCTGGGGCTCAGGTGCAGGGGGGGCTCAGCAGGGCCCCGGGGGGGTCCCACAGCCCCTCCTCAGTGGGGCAGCTCGTGGGGGATCAGCTTGTAGTGGGCCCCACAGGAGGGGCAGCGCTGGGCCTCGCCCTGGTGCAGCCAGAACCAAACCACGCAGCTGTTGTCCTCCTCACCTGGGGACAGGGGCAGGAATGGGGCACAGGGCAGGGGACACGGGACAGGGGCAGGAATGGGGCACAGGGCAGGGGGACAGGGACAGGAATGGGGCACGGGACAGGCCATGGACACAGGGACAGGACAGACACATGGACATGGGAACAAAGATGGACACAGGGACAGAATGGACACACAGACAGGGCTCATTCACTCACAGACACACAGACAGGACAGACACAGACAGGACAGACACACAGACAGGACAGACACACAGACAGGACAGACACACGGACAGGTCACAGACAGGACAGACACACAGACAGGACAGACAGGACAGACACACGGACAGGACAGACACACAGACAGGACAGACACACAGACAGGACAGACACACAGACAGGACAGACACACGGACAGGGTCACAGACACACAGACAGGACAGACACACAGACAGGAGCACTCACAGACACAGCCCACGATGCGTTTGTTGGTGATGGAGGGCACAAGGTTGGGGTCCTCCTTGGTGCCTGCGTAGCGCTTGGGCCGGAACATGCTGTAGGGGTCCTGGGGGGCACGGCAGTCAGGGGGGCACCCGCGGGAAACCCCAGGGATACCCTGTCCCTGAGACCCCCCAAACTCACCCACCCCATCCCCAAGACTCCCCCAGCTCTGAGACCCTCAGACCCCCCCGAGACCTCCCCCAACCACACACCTTGTTCCCCCCAAAACAGCGAACTCCCCCAGCCGCCCCTCCCACCCCTGACTCCCCGACCCGCGCTGGGGTCCCCAGAACAACCCCCATCCCTGTATTCGTCGGACCCTGAGACCACCCCACACTCTCCTTCACCACCCCTGAGCACCTCCAGAACCGCCTGGGACCCCCAAACGCCCCCAGACACCCCTCCCCCTCCCCAGGACAATCGAACTCCGAACCCTCCCCAGACCCCCGAGACCTCCCCGCCCCTGCACTCACCAGGCCCTTGTTCATGGCCTCCATGACCTTCCTCTCCAGCCCGGTCGCCTGTTCCTCATCCGTGGCGAGGCTCCCTGCGGGCCGCGGTCACACGGGGGCACGGACACCGCGCCCGCTCCCCGCACGTCCCCTCCCCGCGCGGCCCCCCAACCCCGCGCTCCCTCCCCCGTCCCCGCTCACCCGGCACGCCGAGGCATCGGGCGGGCGCGGCGCGGGCGGAGGCGCCGGGCAGAAGCCGCAGGGCCGCGCTCACCCGCAGTAACCTTGAGGCCATGGCGGAGCCGGCTCTTCCGCTGCGGGCCGGAAGCGGAAACTGCGTCACGCGGGGACCGGGACGGCGGGAACCGAGCGGAGCCCGGCCCCGGTGCTTGGCCACGCCCCCAGACGGAGCCACGCCCCCTCATTAGGCCACACCCATTATCGCAAAGCCACGCCCCTTGTGGACACACCCCTTGTGACCACGCCCCCCGTGCGGCCCCCGGGTGTCACCGCGGGCGGGGGGACAGGGGACAGCCCTTTGGGGGGGACAGAGGACACCATGGGGGTCCAGGGGAACCCCGGGGGTTGTGGGGACACCCCTGGGGGGACAAGGACTGTGTCCTCGAGGGAGAAGCTGGGGATGGGAGCGCCTGGAGGGGGCCAGGGACAACCCCCATGGGGACAGAGACGCTGGGAGGGGGGACAGAGATCCCCTGGAGGCGACAAAGACACCCAGGGTGGATGGGACAATGTGCCTGGGACCACGGGGGTGGGACACCCCTGGAGGGAGGGGGACAAAGAACAGGGGGCCATGGGGACGTGACACCCCCACAGGGATGGGGACAGATGGTCCTGGGGCCTTGGGGACAGAGAGTCCCGGGGAAACAGGGCCAGGGACACCTGGAGGGCATGGGGGTGATGCCCTGGGGGCTGTGGGGGTGGACCCCCTGAGGGATAGGGACAGGGACAGGGCCGATGTCCCCAGGACCATGAGGACACCCTCAAGGTGACAGGGACAATGTCCCTGGAGCTCTGGGGACAAGGCCAGTCCAGGACACTGCAGAGAGACGTTCCTGGGGTCTTGGAGCCATGAAGGGACAGGGACACCCTGGGGACCCAGGGACAGCTCTGGGGGGACAGGGCCCATGTCCCCAGAACCAGGGACACCCCTGAGGGAGCGGGCACAGATTGTCCCGGGGCTCTGGGGACAGAACAGCCCCGGGGGGGACAAGGACAATCTCCCCAGCACCACGGACCGTGACACCCCTGGGGGCACGGGGACCCCCCGGGACAGCTCTGGGGGGACAGGGCCGATGTCCCCAGAGTAGGGACAGCCCTGGAGGGGAGGGGCAGCCCTGGGGACACTGGGCCAACCCCCCCTTTCCTCCCCTCCCCTGCCCTGCCTCAGTTTCCCCCCCTTGCTGCTTACTCATCCCCATCGATCCCATCGATCCCACCGGGGGCGGGGGCGGCCAAAACAACCTTTTTCCCCCCAGTTTTGAGGCCAGGGCCGGTTTGACCCCCTCGGCTGTGCAGCCACGACCCCCGGGGGCTGCGGGCAAGGGGGGGCAGCGCCCCCGGGACCCCCAAACCCTTCGGGGGGAGGGAGGGGGCTAAAAATAAAATGTGGGAAAGCAGCGCCGGGGGGGCCGGGGGGTGGGCGAGTGCCAAGGGGGGAGGAGGAGGGAGAGGAGGAGGAGGAGGAGGAGGGGGCAGGACAGGCGGGCACGGGCGGGCACAGCACCCGCCCCGGCTCCCGCAGCACCCACCGCCCGCACCCTGCCGGGCTCTGGGGGACCCCCAAACCCACCCCCCCTGGGGCCATGGGCATCCAGGGCATGGAGCTGTGCGCCGTGGCCGTGGTCATCCTGCTCTTCATCGCCGTGCTCAAGCAGTTCGGCATCCTGGAGCCCATCTCCGTGGAAGGTACCTCCGGTTATAACCCTCATTAACCCTAATTATTGAGTTAATTAACCCCCATCCCTCCCCCCATCAAATGTCCCATTGGGCCCCGGGAGGGCCCTGTGAGGTCCAACTGCCTGGGTTTGGGGTTCCCCCCGGGAGGGTTTGGGGTGACCACTGAGGGTCTGGGGGGTGGGTGGAGAGGGCAGGTCCCCCAAGCCCCCCTCAGCCCCCGCAGTGTCATGGCCCAGCCCTGCTCTGACCTCCCCGGGGCTGTGCCAGTGCTGCCCCTCAAACAACCCGTCCCCAGAGCCCCCCTGCCCCTGCCAGGGTTCCCCACCCCCTGTTAACAGATAACAGCCCCCCCAGTGCCCCCAAAGCTCCCCGGGGTGGGACAGGGGGGCCCTGAGCTGGCCTGAACCCCCAACCTCCCCCTGAGCTGGGGGGCTCTGACACCACAGTGACCCCCAGAGCCCCTGGGGATGGCACACAGGGCCCCTCAGACCCCCAATGACTCCCAGCCCCCCCAAAACACAACCCCGGGCCCTCCCCTCCCTCACTGCCCCCCAAGTCCCCCTGAGACCCAGCTTAGCAGGAGCTGGGAGGTTCACCCCCCTCTGGGGGGACCCTGGGGATTTTCCAACCTCATCCCAAAATTCCCACCCCTCCCCCTGCGCTGGGAGGCTCCGCGGGGGCTCCCCAGGCTGGAATTATTAATAAGCCATCATTTATTAATTACCTTCGGCTGCGGCCGGGCGGGAACAGCGGCGGGAGAGGTGGCTCCGGAATATTCCGTGCCTCTGGAATGCGGGAAACCCCTCGGGATTCGACACCCAGGGTGTTCCCGGGGCCCAAAGGGAACCTGGTTTTAAGGGCTAGAAGAGTTGGCTTTGGGGGGTGAGGGTGGTTTTAAGGGGATAAGGGTGGCTTTAGGGCAGGGGGGGTGTTTTTAAGGGGGATCTTTGTCCCGGGGGGTCTCTCCAGACAACAGCGATGCCGACGTGGAGCTCCTGACCATCCGGCACCAACCCGAGGGGCTGGAGCAGCTCCTGGCCCGGACCAAATTCACCAAGATGGAGCTTCAGTCCCTCTACCGCGGCTTCAAGAACGTGAGCTTGGGGGTCCCTCACCCCCTGACCCCAAATCCGGGGGTGCTGGGGGTCTCCAGGGTCACCAGGAGCCACCTCCTTCCCAGGAATGCCCCAGCGGCCTCGTGGACGAGGAAACCTTCACCCTCATCTACTCACGGTTCTTCCCCCAAGGCGGTGAGCTGGGGGGACCCCAAACCTGCTGGGGGGCTCGGGGGGGGGCCCATCCGGAAAACCAGCCCAGGAGTCATCTGCCCCTCGCCCCGCAGACGCCACTTCCTACGCCCACTTCTTGTTCGACGCCTTCGACGCCGACCACAACGGCGCTCTGTGCTTCCAGGTGGGAATTCCCGGCCTGATTCATCCCATCCTCCTCCTCCTCCTCCTCCTCCTCCCGGGCTGTGGCCGGACTGTCCCTCGCGGTGCCGGGGGGCACTGCAGCGCAAGGAGGGGGGGTGGTTAAAAATAACGGGATCAATAGGGAACAAATCCCTCGGGCACCCCGGGATCGATGCGGCAGCGGGAGGGGGGGCTGAGCGGGGCGAGGGGGTGGGAGTCCCTCCCTGCTCACACCCCACGGCAGGATTTCGCCGTGGGGCTCTCGGTGCTGCTGCGGGGGACGGAGCAGCAGAAGCTGAAGTGGGCGTTCGACCTCTACGACGTGAATAAGGACGGCTACGTCACCAAGGAGGTGACACTGGGGGACGCCGGGGGGGCTGGCGGGGCGGGGGGCACGCAGAGAGGGACGCGCCGGTGCTCTGTGTGCCCCCAGGACATGCTGGAGATCATCAAGTCCATCTATGCCATGATGGGGCCCTGCACAGAGCCCGCCCTGCGGGCCAGCGCCCCGGCCCAGCACATGGAGCTGTTCTTCCAGGTGACACCTCTGTCCCCTCCGCCCCCTCCCGGGGACACCTCCCGGGCCACCCCCCCTTCTGCGGGCGGGACGGCCCCGCTCAGCCCCGGCCGCTCCCCTGCAGAAGATGGACAGGAACGGGGACGGCGTGGTGACCTTCGAGGAGTTCCTGCAGACCTGCCAGGAGGTGGGGGGACCCCGGGGGGGCTGGGGGGCACCGCCACCCTCCTCCTCCTCCATCCTGCCAGGCCTCGGAGTCCGAGACATCCCCCTGTTCTGCCCCAGAGCGATGGGCGGGGGGCAGGAGGGGTGGGGACAAGGGGGTGACCCCAGGAGGGGGACAGGAGGAGAGAGACAGGGAGGGAATGGCAGGAGGGGGGTACAGGAGAGGGGCTGGGAGAGGAATGGGAGGGAGGGACAGGAGGAGTGTGATGGGAGATGTGGGATGGGGGCATTGGGCGGTGGGGAGGGGGACAGGACTGGGGGAAAGGAGGGGGGAGACAAAGGGGCAGGGTGGGAGGGACAGGAGGGGAATGGGAGGAGGGGACACGGGGGTCTCTGTCCTCTCCTCCCCAGGACAAGGACATCATGAGCTCCATGCAGATCTTCCACAACGTGCTCTAGACCCTGGGACCCCCTGGAGACAGGAGGGGACAAGGACAACGCTGCCACTAGAGCCCCCAGCATGGCACTGGCACCTGCAAGATGGACCCATTTTGGGGGGCTGAGCCCCCCTCGACAAGGACCCCCCGCCCTGGGTGGCACAGGGAGCTGGCACGGGGCAAACAGGACCCCGACACCAGGGCCCCCCAGGGTGGGGACCCCTGGGACATGGGGACCCCCTGGGAGGGCTCCCTGGGATGTGGGGACTCCTCAGAGATAGGATCTCTTGGAGATGGGACCCCCCAGGACGTGGGGACTGTCTGAGTGGGGGTGTCCAGGCATGAAGTGGAGCCCCCAAACACCAACCAAAAGCACACAGAACCCCCCTCCTCCCTCATCACTCAGGTGACCCCCACGGGGCCACAGCCCCCCCTCCCCCCTCAGCACGTGGAGAGGGGGTTGTTTTATAAATAAACCGGATGGTGACGACCTGGGGGGAAACGGAGTTAAGTGGGATGTGACAGCCGTGCTGTGTCCCTGCCCCAGTCCCCGTCCCAGCCTCAATCCAATCCCAGTCCCAGCCACCATCCCTGTCCCTATTCCTGTCCTGGCCTCGATCTCTGTCCCCGTCCCCATCCCTGCCCCGTCCCAGTTCCTGTCCCTGTCCCTAACCCTATCCCTGCCCTGGCCCTGCCCCTCATCCAGCCCCTGGTTCTTTCCGTCCCTGACTCAGTCCCCATTCCAGTCTCCATCCCAGTCCCAGTCCCTCTCTTAGTCACTGTCCCAGTCCCTATTCCAGTTGCTATCCCAGTCCCGGTCCCCGTTCCTGTCCCAGTCACTATAATGGTCCCATAGTCCCACTCTCATTCCCAGTCCCATTCCCATTCCCAGTCCCTTTCCCAATACATTTCCACACCCGGTCCAGTGCCCCTCCCCCTCCTCCTCCCCTGCCCCGCCCCCTCCGCCCTCCCCGCTCATTGGTCCTCATTGGGAGTGGCCCCGCCCTCCCCGCGCTCCCATTGGACGGCCCGAAGGTGGCGTGGCCTCAGCGCGGTGACCTTCGGAAACTCGGGGGCGGAGCAGGGTCTGCAGCGCCCCCTGGTGGAGCGGGGAACAACGTGTGTGAGACCCCCGGGAACGGGGGATCCCTGGGAATGGGGGGATCCCTGGGAATGGGGGGTGTTCCTGGGAATGGGGGGTGTTCCTGGGAATGGGGGATCCCTGGGAATAGGGGGTGTTCCTGGGAATGGGGGTGTTCCTGGGAATGGGGGTGTTCCTGGGAATGGGGATCCCTGGGAATGGGGTGTTCCTGGGAACGGGGGTGTTCCTGGGAATGGGGGATCCCTGGGAATGGGTGTTCTGGGGAATGGGGATCCTGGAATGGGGGAACCTGGGAACGGGGGATCCCTGGGAATGGGGGTGTCCTGGGAATGGGGATCCTGAATGGGGGTGTTCTGGGAACGGGGGGGAACCTGGGAATGGGGGAACTTGGGAATGGGGGTGTCCGGGACGGGGGAACCTGGGAACGGGGGAATCCCTGGGAACGGGGGATCCTGGGAACGGGGGAGGGGAATCATTGGAAACGAGAAGGATCGTTGAGAATGGGGAGACTCCTGGGAACGGGGCGGGAGGGGGGCGAGTCCACGATAGCGGGATAATTGTGCGGGATTGCGGGGGAGGGGTCCCTGCGATCGGGGCTAAGGGGGGGATCTCTGGCATCGGGGGGATTCCCGAGATCGGGGCTATGTGGGATAAGGGGAAAGTCCCTGGGACTGGGACTGGGCGGAACTGGGGGTGGATCCCGGGGATTTACCTCGGATTGGGCGGGGGGGAGGGAGGCGGATTCCCCTGGTCTGGGGGTGTGCAGGGTCAGGGGGACCCCCGGGATCGGGCTGGGCGGGGTGACACCCTCAGGGATCGGGGCAGGGCGGGACCAGGAGGGGCTGCCCTGGGATCGGGGGGAGGGGCCCATCCCGGGCCCAGGGGGTCCGCAGCCCCCGCGTCCCCCCGGCGCGGTGCCGACCCCGTTGCCGCAGGGGATGCGCGGGGCCCTGCGGCTGGTGCGGTTCCGGGGGGCCGCGGGCGGGGGGCCCCGGCTCGGGCTGGAGGAGGCGCCCGGGGGGGACCTGGTGGATCTGAGCGCGGCCGAGCCGACGCTGCCGCAGTCCATGCGGGAATTCCTGGAGCTCGGCCCGCGGGGGCTGGAGCTCGCCCACAGGTGCGTACCCCAAAGGGGGGACCCTCAAAGGTGGGGGATCCCCGAAGGTTGGTGCTTCAAAACCTGGGTCCCCCCAGGGATGGATCTCCCCAGTGGTGGGTGACCCCAGGAAAGGGTCCTCCAAAAGGAGAGTGACTCCCAAAAATGAGGGTCCCCAAGGGTGGGTGATCCCCAAAGGAGGGTCCACCAAAATCCGGGTGACCCTTTGGCTGAGCCCCAGAAGTGTGCGACCCCCAAACAGTGGGTTACCCCCAAAGGTTCCCCCACCCTCAGAGGTGGGTGCTCCAAAATGTGACCCTTTGAATGACCCCCAGTAGGTCCTCTGAGTCCAGAGCCCCAAAACTGGGGATGACCTTCCAGTGGTAGGTCACCCCCAAACGTGGCTGATCCCAAAGACAGGTGTCCCGAAAGGTGGATGCCCCAAAAGGTGGGTGTCCCCAAGGTCTGCATGTCCCCACAGGGCGCTGGAGTCAGGGCAGCACCGGGTGCCCCGTGGGGCCACGCGGCTGCTGGCGCCCGTGGGGGACCCCGAGAAGCTGATCTGTGTGGGGCTCAACTACCGCGACCACTGCCAGGAGCAGGGCCTGAAGGTGCCCAAGGAGCCCATCATCTTCAGCAAGTTCCCCAGTGCCATCGCCGGGCCCTTCGATGACATCGTGCACCCCCAGGACAGCACCGTGGGTACCCCGGGACCCGCCCCCGCAGCCCCCCCGGGGGTCGAGACCCCCAACCCCCTGTGCTGTCCCCGCAGGAGGTGGACTGGGAGGTGGAACTGGCCGCTGTCATCGGGAAGAGGGGCCGGCACATCGAGGTACCCCCCGCCCCACCCACACCTCGCCTCGGGGGGCCCTGTGTGTGCATCCCCTGTAAGGGGGTCCCGCTGCCCCCCAGGAATCGGCGGCCCTGGAGCACGTGGTGGGGTTCATGGTGGCCAACGATGTGAGCGCCCGGGACTGGCAGATGCGCAACGGGCGGCAGTGGCTGCTGGGGAAAACCTTTGACACCTTCTGCCCCTTGGGGCCAGCCCTTGTCACCAGGGAGGCGGTGAAAGGTGGGGACACGGGTGGGGATGGGACAGGGATGGGACAGGGACAGAACAGCAATGGAGATGGGACGGGGGAGGACTGGGAACAGCAGGGACAGGGATGGGGATGGGATGGGCCAGGATAGGCATAGGGACAGTGATGGGGACTGGACAAGAACAGGCCAGCAATGGGATGGGGACC